TGAAAACAACTCAGTGAAGCTTTAAATGTTGCCTGACCAAATATTAACCTTTCTGGTTTACAAACATGGAGTAGGAGTAGGAGTGGAGATTCATGTATTCATGTATTTCTAATTCAATCAGTATTTCAGAAGAATGTCTTGCCTTTAGAACCATTCTGAATCACAACAAAAGAGTTGAGGTCCAATATTGTATATATTTAAAGAAAGTTCAACCTAGATTTGAAAAGCTCTTCTGTAGCTCCAGTACAGGTTACTTGCACTGTATGTGAATAATTAGATCCCAATTCCCTTCATAGCAACCAAAACATACAGTCGCAAGGGAATTATTTCTATGCACATCAGAAGTTTCAATGGATAACTGGGAAAACAGAGTATATGAGGACCCAGGTTGTTGGAGGCAATATGCTGACTCTGTAAATAGCTTAGAGAGAGCTATAAAAGCACTATAAAGCAGTATATAAGTCTAGGTGCTATTGCTGTTGCTATATGCCACTGCTTTTTCCCTCCTGTGACTCTGTTTGACATGATGCATTAACTTAAAATCAGAGATTTTGTTGTGTAACACAACAAAAATAACTCCAGGGTGGTTGCAGGGAATTCAGAGCTAGAATATTCTTAGGGCATGATTTTTCAAAGACATCTAACAAGGGAGAATCCATCAACCATTCTAAGCTTATTTTATCAAACTGTTCTACCATCAACTAAAATTCATATTTCTTGTAACATAAATTTGTTGAATTTATCTCTTCAGATGTAGTAGAGAACAAGTTTTGCTGTCCATCAGACATTTGAAGACTGACATGATATTCCTATCTTCAGTCTTCCAGGTCTCTTCTCCAAATTAAACAAAACCAGATACTTTATTTTTTGTTCCTTACCATACGATTCACTATTATGATTATCCTTCCTTTAAATTCTAAAGGACATAGGTGAACCCATTTCAACCTATGTCCTTTATAATGTCTAAGGCCTCAAATTGGACCTAGTAATGAAATGTATGGCTAATGCAGAATAATGTAAAACTGTCATTATGGCGTTCTGAAAACTTGTACTCCCTTAAGGTAGCCTGAAATTGCATTAGCTATGTTTGCACATACATCACGCTGCTGACTCACTTTTAGCAATAGAGCAAACCAAGCAAATGTACATATTCTAGTTTAATCTGAGTACTATTGAGTGCTACTTTTGCTTCAGAAAGGAGTGGGGAGGGAAATAAGAAAGGTCTTTTACTTTGATTTATATCAAGGTTTGCTAATTTAATTCAGGCTGTATTTTAGGTACATCAAGGCTATTCCTATATACAGTAAAATAAATATATGTAGTGCAAAGTATGTCAGTTGTCAAAGGCATAGATCCCCAAAATAATTTTCGATAGAAGAATTATTATGGGTATTTAGAAGAAAAATTAACTACAGATATTGTTAAAATAAGCTGTCTGCTAGTGAATGCAGCTGACTGTTGCTGATATACAGTTTATTAATTATAATAAATACATAAAATTCCTATTTTAGGGTTTCACATCCCACAGGGTTCAATTATTTGGACAAGCACAGTTTTAAATAGTAACCTGGAGGAATCTATGGAAGCATTAAAATTATTTTACAAATAAAATTGTAAGATTGCTTGTATCTTTATGATTTATATTATTTTATTTACCTTCCTACATGATTTGATTGTTTATTTAGTCTCCTATGACTATCACTAAGTGTTGTATCTTATGATACTTGATGAATGTATTTTTTAAGTACACTGAGATCGTATGTACCAAAGACAACTTCCTTGCGTGTCCAATCACACTTGGCCAATAAAGAATTCTATTCTATTCTATTCTATTCTATTCTATTCTATTCTATTCTATTCTATTCTATTTTGATTCTCCTTCTTTAATTTGAAAATTGTAATGATATTTTATATTTTATTAATTGCATGTTTTCCTTACCATTAGATCCAAATTAAAATAATCTGTTAAAAATAGTAAGATTCAAGTAGATTGATTTAAATTGCACTGATTTGAATGGGCCTTTAATGGTCGCTGCATCTGGATCCAATGCACATATCATTTTTAACAGTAGATTTCTCTGATGTACAATATATGCCTTTTTCGTCAGAAGGTGATTTTAGAAATATATTAATTTTTTTCTGAATGGTTGAACCTTGTAGATTGCGCATCTGCCCTAATAACTTAGATCTAGAGATGAAACCTTTCAATTAGTTGAAACAATTCCTATTCGGGTGATCATAGATCACAACATTGTAACGATAAAGTGAATAAATACAATTGGGATTTCATCAATTTGAAATTATTTCTTAAGGCAGGGGTCAAACTCAGAACCTGCAGGCTAGATGTGGCCTGTGGCAGTGGTGGTATTCAGCCGGTTTGCACCACATCGGGCGAACTGGTAGCAAGGATTTGGCATGGGTTGCCAAACCGGTAGTAAGCTTTGGCTGGCTACGCCCCTGATCTGATCGCCCTTCCACCCGATGTTCGCATCACCCTGCTCGCCTGACGTTCACCTAAGGTATTTCTTCCTTTTCCCCCCCTCCCGACAATCAGCTGTACATATGATCAGCTGTGCCGGGATTCCCCTTGCTGAGGTCCAGGAAGGCAAAAAATGGCTCATTCCCCTCCCACCATTTTTTTTCCTTCCTGAGCCTCAGAGGAGCCTTCTGGAAGCAAACTCCCTCTGAGGCTCTTCTGAGGCCAGGAAGCTCCCAAAATGGAGTGTGGAGGGGTGCTGCGTGCCCCTCCCATGCTCTGTTCCTTTTCTTCCTGAGCCTTAGAAGAGCCTTATGGGAGCAACCCCCTCCCCCAAGGCTCCTCTGAGGCCCAGAAGGCCCAAAAAATGGGTGGGGAAGGCCCAAAAAATGGGTGGGCAAAAAAAAAAGGCCATGCCCACCCAGTCACATGGTCATGCCCACCAAGCCACACCTACAGAACCATTAGTAAAAAAAATTAAATCCCATCACTGCTCTGCGGGGTGCTTAAATAACAAAGGACCTGCCCATGGTGCCTCTGGCAGCCAAAACAAGGCATGGGGGCCACACGTGGTCCCAATGCAGTCTGTTTTCATCCTGGATAGCCTCCTGCAACTCTTTGCTGGTCAAACGGCCCCCCTGCACCCCGTATTAGCTGGTAGGGTGCTGCAGGAGGCATCTATCCTGTCTTCCCGCCTCTTCCTTCCCCAGCAAGCCTGCGGAGGAAAACTACAATGTTGATTCGGCTCTCAAAGAAATCCAGTTTGACAACCTTGTCTTAAGGGAATTTAGGTTTATTAAGCATGTTCAATTATTTAATTCTTGATTTGGTTAGACCCCTGTACTCTAGAAAATCAATGAAAAATCAACTCTGTGTTTTTTGTTCATAGTTTAACACAAATTTTGGCAGAGTACTTTCTGGAAAAGCTGTGAGTTCAGAAACTACTCCTAAAAAATCACTTTTATTGTCTGACAAGTGAAGATGTCTGTTTAAACATTTTTACTTATCTTGATTTATTCTGTTTATTAACTGATACAGTACTTTGGATCTTTATGTATTTATGTTCCCTAGGACATTTTTAAATGATTATTTTTTATGCTTTTTATATCTTGTAAGTTGCTTTGGTTTTTTTGCATGGGAAAAACAGCACCATATTTTCATCAATCAATCAATACTTTTTTTTTCCAGTGTAGTACCTTTTGTTCTGTTTCCTCTCTGTTCATGATTTTCCTCACTTTCATCTGTTTCTTTCAACAGGAAGGAATATTAATAACATGTTCAATGAGATTGGGATCTTTTTTCCCTTCTCCTTGCTAAAGAGGGATGCAGGACTCTCTTGTTTGCCAAGGCTTTAATGCTTTTATTCATTTTCTGTTTCCTACAGTTGTTTGCCTGGCTTCTCTGGGAACCCCTTGCATAATTTCCTTGAGATACATAACCTATATACTAATGTTAAATTTTTGATGACTACAGAAAGAAAAAAAATTATCCCATTTGTTACATTTGTATCTATAGACTGCTATCTACTCTTTTTTCTATTCCAAACATAGAAAATGCTTGTGGATTTGACCCCAAAATAATCCCTGGCAGGATTCTTTTATATATAAGGTTATCCAAATAAATGTTTTTGGGAAGTTTGCTGACAGGGCATTGTCATGCTTTCCTCTGCTTTCATTTACAGTAATTATTATTTTGCCTGTATAACTAGAAGCTGTATATAGTTATTATGATTAATATTATTTTTTATTAAACAAAATTATATGACTACCCATATACCAAAAAAAACTCTAGGCAGCAAACAAGAATAAAAACAAAGTGATTAAAAAAATCACTCAAGTAAAAAAAGACAATACTATCCATAGATCAAATACACCATGCCTGTCCCATTAACTTTCAGGCTATTCACACCTGTGGGAAAACCAGGTCTTCATTGATTTCCTGAGCCCATTGCCAGATTTAATACTTTTCATTCAAAAATCCAGCATCTTGTAAATATTTTTGATTTTTCAAAGGTTATAGGATTTGGTGTTAAAAATTTCTAGTAGACTAATCTGTAATACTTAAGCTGTTTTGCTAAATTTTAGTAACAACATACAAATTTGGATAAACTTCATAGTAACTTACTGGTAAATAAAATTTGAGGGTTTTTTTTCAAAGGAGGTTGCAATATGACAGATTTATGTCATTATTGATGCTGCAAGCTAAATACAGCCACTAGCATGAATTGTGGCCTGCTGGTTCCTTGATGACCTTTTGTTTTGTGCTATTAAGGAGCCCGCAAAAATAGGAAACTTACTCAGTACAATACTGTACATACATGGCTGGTTGACTCTATTCAGCTTGGTGGATCACAAATTGTACACACTGATGTTTTGAGAGTCCAGTCAATTTGCTAAGAGCCTGAATAATACAGAATTGTATTTCATCTTAGATTTATGACTGAAATAGGAAACTACCAAGCATACCAAGAAAAATATATAGCAACCCAAATTTCATTCCTCAATTTTCTTGTTTCTTCTCTTAGCATGCTATGGAATTGTTCAGGTTCCCACTGGACCGTGGTTCTGTCGAAAATGTGAATCTCAAGAAAGAGCCGCCAGGGTGGTGAGTACACATCGAAAACATGTCAGAAGAACAGAATAAAACTTGCTTATCCTAGTATAGTTAGTATATGGTTCTGAATAATAGTTAACCACTTAAATGTGAAGGGTACAAAAATGGAACATGGAAACAGAGGCCTACAACAATTGTTTCACCTTGCATCTGGAGCATTGGTGGCTTCTGAACTAGGAGCCTCTGTAACATTTTTAATAGCTGATGTCTGTATTATTAGATAGTTCACTTACACTCAGATAGGTCTAAACCTAAATGTACCACTTAGAGGGCATAAAAAGGTCTATCTCCTATCCATGTTCTATACCCCTACATTTCTGTCATATTCGCTTCCTAGTGTAAAAATAATGTCACTTATGAAATGCACATACTTAATTTGATTTGTTTAAAGGGGGAAACAGTTGCTTTTTCTTAGGAAATAGTTTTCTTAGGAAACACACATATGCCGAAGAATCTTTTCAATTCTAGATTTGCCAGCATTTCAGGCAGCCCCTGATCTTGTAGCTATGAGAGGCAACTTTGATTTTTTTTTTCAAATGAATTTGATTTTAAAGTCATAAAGGACATGATGACTCACTTTTAGTAATATTATATTGATACATTAGCAACATTTTCCATAGAAGTTTTAAAAGACCCAGTCACTAAGGTAAACAAGAATTAGTTTACTGTTAAACAAGGAGCAAAAGGCCCAGGAAACTCTGGACTATATAGTACCCAAGACACAAATAAACCCACTGCCATCTACTGGCTAAACTAAGAAATTATTCTACAATTCGTTTCTTCTGAAATAGCAACCTCAGCTGATTCCTTTTAGTCTTTTGTTGGCTACTGCAATTTTGCTTGGGGGAGAGGGCAAATCTCATTCTTAGCCAGAAGTCTTCTGATGATGTCCTCCCCAGATTCAAAACATGAATAGATTTTGTGCAAATAATGAAATTGTCATGGATTCTTGACAGGAATGGCCCAAAGTTGTGTTGACCAGAAAATGGCTCTAAAATGGAATGAAGGGAGAGAGGAGGGAGGGAGGAAGGATGGATCATGAGACAGATTGTTTTGTGAGAGGGGTACATTTGTAAAACTTCCTTTGAATCAAACTCAATATAATTTAGAATAGAGGGGCTATAGTAAAGAAGTAATTGACCTTCCAACAGAATAATTTCAGAGCTCCCCAATCTATTGTACAGTCTAGTAAACCTGATCATCTCCCATTCAAGTAGTAACCAATCCCCAAATTGATGAGCTATATAACTGAGGAAGTGGGTTTTATCATGAAAAGGAATAAGAGGATGGCAATAGTTAAGCCAAGAACTTCAGGATATAAAGAAATATATAGGGAGCCGTGCAGCAAGGAGGAGGTAGGATGCTCATCTGCTTTTTTGTGTGAGCTAAATGGAAGAGGAGCTTAGTTGCTCTGGCTTATTGTTGTGTTGCTATTTTGATTCATTTTCTTTCTGCCTGAGAAAATTAAATAATTGAAAGAAGCAATAAGTGGAGAAAGGAATGAAGTATCTGGTAATCCTAGCTAAGAGAGATAATAGAAGTAAATATGTCTTAAGTAGAAAAAAATGGAGTACCTTTAGACCAGCACTCAAGATGGAACTAACTCTGAACCTTAGGAAGATTGCCTTTAATATTAGTTCAAGAGTGTAATTGCTACCTACATTTGTAAGGGTTGAAATGAAATGCTCTTAGCATTATATCTACAAGAATGACTGCATATTTTCCCAGTGGAGGAAGACTTTTCTATGTGGATTCATAAGTTAAATATGTCCCTGGCTATTCCAATAGAAATAGATGCGGGGAAAATTCTGCTCCCTGGATTCTTGTTTATCGTAGCTAGTATTTCACCTAACTAATGAGCATGTTCAGAATGGAAGACTTTTATAAAAATGACAAGCTACCTTTGGAGTAGATCCATTTTGGGCAACGGAGAGACCATAGGTAAAGAAAAGAGGTCATGTTACATTGAGAAATTCTCCATGTTTGTATGTTTGATATAAGTTGTTATCTTCCTCCTTTACAATCAGGAAATGAACTATATATATTACTAAATAAAAAGAAAAAATGAGTCAATTTCTCATCAATCTGGTATATTTAGGTCAAAGATAATATATATAGGAGTATTCTTGCATGAGGAGTCTGATTTACAATAGAATAGAATGACACAGATGGAAGGGACCTTGGAGGTCTTCTAGTCCTACCCCATGATTATGCAGAAACCCTACACCATTTCAGACAAATGGTTATCCAATCTCTTCTTAAAAACTCAGTGTTGGAGCATTTACAACTTCTGGAGGCAAGTTGTTCCACTATTATTTGTTCTAACTGTCAGGAAATTTCTCCTTAGTTCTAAGTTGCTTCTCTTCTTGATTAGTTTCCACCCATTGCTTCTTCTCCTACCCTCTGGTGCTTTGGAGAATAACTTGACTCCTTTTCTTTGTGGCAGCCCCTGAGATATTGGAAGACTGCTATCATGTCTCCCCTGGTCCTTCTCTTTACTAGACTAGACATACGCAGTTCCTGCAACCGTTCATTATATGTTTTAGCCTCCAGTCCGCTAATCATCTGTGTTGCTCTTCTCTGCACTCTTTCTAGAGTCTCAACAACTTTTATACAATGTGGCGACCAAAATTGGATGCAAAATTGGCATTATAAAGTGGTATTAACACTTCATGTGATCTTGATTCTATCCCTCTGTTTAGGCAGCCTAGAACTGGGTTGGCTTTTCTGGCAGCCACAGCACACTGCTGGCTCATATTTAAATGTTTGTCCACCAGGACTCCCAAGATCCCTCTCACACTTACTACTGTTGAGTGAAGTATCACATATACTGTATCTGTGCATTTTGTTTGTCTTGCCTAAATGTAAAATCTTGCTTTTTTCACCATTGAATTTCATTTTGTTAGATAGAGCCCAATGTTTTCAAATCTGTCAAGATCCTTATGTATCTTAAGCCTACGTTCTGGAGTAATAACCTTTTAAGATATATCATTCTCCTTGTTTGATTGAGGACAAAGGAAATTCTTCCTAAAAATAAAGAGAAAATAAATATTAATTAGAATTAAAACAAACTTTAAACTTGCCAATTAAAAATGCAAATATCTAAAGGCAAAAATAGGAAACCACAAAAGGCAGTTATTTATGATCCTGGAGAAATAATACTAAGGGTGGGGGGAGGTAATGTTTATGCTAAATTTTCTACTTGAACGCTCAAATTGCAACCTCCTAAGTACAATGAGATAGTAACAAGGTAGACACCGCTACTGGTAATATTCTAAGTGCCAACTATAAAACCAGTTTTGCTGCTCCAGTAAAGAAAGCAAAGAAGCAGTAACTATTTCAACAGCTTCTATTAAATCCACTTACTGAATTGTGGCGATAAGGTTTCTATGTAGAACTAAAGTAAGCCAACAATAATGCATAATAAAAGGCAATCAGACATGAAAACATCTGTCAGATTTCTTTGGGAACCAAACTATTTAAGTATGAAGAATATATAGACACCTATGGCAAAATAATTCATAATTATTGGCTCAGGCGATAAGCATCCAGTCTGCTACTTTATGTAAGCTATGACAAAACTTGAAAGGCAAAAATGTTGTATGTTTTCTTGTGCAGAAATTAATATTTTTGATATGGCCTCTCAGCCTTTTTTGAAGTAACAGAATAGAAACCAATCAGATTATGTCCTGATCTGAGTGTGGGATTTTTAATTATGCTGAAATACTTTCATTTCTTTAGATTAGAATCATATCCAGGTCATAGTTGTATCAAATGTGCTTTTTCAAAAGACAACTGGGCTGTTTTTTCCCTTGAGGAAGAAGAAGTTTTATTTCTCATCCAAGAAGCTTCACTGATTCTGGTGGGAGGCGATGGAAGGATTAATTCTGACAGGATGGGGAGAGGGGGTTGGTAGGATCATATTTCTTTGCATTCATCTGGTCCTTAGCACTTTCCCTGAGAATTTTTGGGGACCCTTGAGTTTTATCTGTGCCCTAAGGACCACCTGTATTGTTACCTGTGTAAATGGGGGTGAAATCTTCGAAATGCTGAAAGGACTGAGTTGTAGACAGGAGATAGGTAGTGCCTTATCTCTTCCCTTCTTTTGAGAGAGTGCTGCTCAATGTTAACATAAATGGCCTCTTTTACCCTCCTTTAAACCAATGGTGCTCTCTATCCAGAATGTGGACTTCGCTGTTTTTGTTTATTTATAATAATTGGTATAAAAATCATTTATAAATTATTTAAATGCAGCTTTTCTGTCTTTTACCAAACTGAGATATTAACTGTAAGCTGTTTCAAAAAATAGCTTATAACTAAGGGAGATTACATGAACTATGCAGTTATTTTATCTTTCCTCAGTTAACAGAGCTTATTTGGTACAAAGAAGAGAAAAAGAAAAAAGTCAACCACTATAAGGTTGCAACTGGAAACTGACATTCTTTGGATTTTGCCCCTTCCTCCAGATATGCACACAAATAAAATTCCATGATATAAGCTGAATGTTTGCACAATGCAAACTTCAAAGAAAAAGAAAATACTCTAGGTGCTAGTGAAAATGTGTGTATATGTTATAAGCTAGGTTTTTTCAGATAAAATCCTTTATCAAAGGCATTACAAAACAAACTCATGGAAACAACTTATAAATTTTATTTTACAAAGATAGTCAGATAACCAAATAAAACAAGGCATTTTACTGTTTGTTTCATAACAGGAATACAATTTCAAAATAAATGTAGTCCATTAGGGCAGAGGTTTTTTCTTCAGCAATGAAACATTAATTGAAAATAAATCCTGGAATCCCTAATAAAGAGTAGAACTTTACTGATAGAAAATTAACCATGTTTGAGAAGTCTTATTTATTTGCCCTTAACCTATCATGAAATTTCATCAAGTTCTTGCAGAATCCTAGTGTTGTATTATTGAAAAACCCTTATCGCATCCTAGGGTTGCAGCAGTTACTTCTGGTTATCAGATTCTATATAAAACAAGCACAGGCGATCCTTGTTTACTGACCACAATTGGATCAGCAACTCAGAGTCACCAAGTGAAACTGATTATGCTTATGATTTTATCTCACCTTTCCTCTGCTTTACACATCTGTAAAGGTCGCAAATATGAGGACTGGTTACAAAGTTTATTTTATTTATTTTTATTTATTTGATTTGTTATTTCTTATAAGATAATAGGTATAAGTATAAACATAGTAATGAATACATGAAATGGATACATATAAGAAAAATAAAAAGAAACAATAGGACAGGGGCAGTAGACACATTGGTGCGCTTATGCACACCCCCTACAGACCTCTTAGGAAAGGGGTGAGGTCAATAGTAGACAGTCTAGGGTTAAAGTTTTTGGGGTTTGGGGAAGAAACCACAGAGTCAGGTAGAGTATTCTAGACATTGACCACTCTGTTGCTGAAGTCGTATTTCCTGCAATCAAGTTTGGTGCGGTTTACCTTGAGTTTGTATCTATTGTGTGCTCTTGTAAATTGTTGCTAAATGAGGGAGTCACTAAATAAGGATTACCTGTACTATAAATCAGTATGGTTTGTGTGTGTGTTTGTGTGTATGTATATATGTATGTCCCCAGTATTGTGTAAAATATAATATAGGGATTTGTCTTAATTCATTTCCTTCCTTCATTCATTTTGTGCTTTCTGCACTAAACAAACTTTACTTAGAAATAGTATTTCCCTTTGAAATGGTTCTTTATCTCTGTTTTCAGGAATGTTTGGCTGTTGTTGTTTTTTTCAGAGAAAGAGCAGGAAAAGAGGGTAGAGTGCATCAGCACTGTCTGAGTTAACTTTAATCCATATTTGCTCATTCCCATTGAAGCAACACCCATGTTCATTTTCCAAATCAGCACAGTCAATTTGTGTCCTACATGCTCAGGCAATACTAACTGTTTATTAGCCACAGAGAACCTTGAATTAAGTTCAAATATATTTTTGCTGGAAGAATCACCCCTCAGCTTCTGTTTTGCTGGCTAAAGCAGAGTAACATGTATGAAGTAATAATATGGGCACAAATGCTTAGGGAAATGATGCTTACTTCTGAATGTCTATAGCTGGATCCCAAATGTCAAAGATTGTACTTTCCAGATATAATAAATCCAAGATTACAGATTAACAGAATAAAAGAGTTGAAAAATAAAAGAGTTGGAAATCTTCTAGACCAACCTCATATTCAAGCAGGAAACCTTATACCATTTGAGATAAATGGTGTCCAGTCTCTTCGTAAAAACCTCCAGTGTTGGAGTACTCACAACCTCTTGAGGCAAATAATTCTCCTAATTAATTGTTCTAACTCTCAGGAAATTTCTCCTTAGTTCTAGGTTGATTCTCTCCTTGATAAGTTTCTATCCATCACTTCTTGTTTTGCCTTTAGGTGCTTTGGATAATAAGTTGACCCCCCTCTTCTTTTTGGCAACCCCTCAAATATTGGAATACAGTATTGCTATCATGTCACTCCTAGTTCTTCTTTTTATTAGACTAGACATATTCAATTCCTGAAACCGTTCTTCGTATGTGTTAGCCTCCAGTCCCCTAATCATATTTGTTGTTTTCTCTGCACTCTTTCTAAAGTGTCAACTTATTTTTTATAGTGTGATGATCAGAAGTGGATGCAGTATTCTAAGTGTTGTCTTACTAAGGCATTATTAAATGGTACTAACAAGATGCTGCTGCTTTTAGGAATTGTAGGAACTCTCATTCTTCATTGTCTTCCCAAAGAATTTGGCTCCATTAGATAAAGTAAGCTCAGTTTGCTTTGTAAAATAATTGTCTTCTGTCCTTGGGAGCTGAATTGACCCCAGGGCACTTCTGGGCAAGGTGAGGATATTCATGGATATTTTTATAATCTTGTTTAAGCAAGGAATAGATGAGCGAGTTGTCTGGCTGTCTGGCAGAGTATTTCATGTTTGCAAATTTCCTGATGTGAGGCCAACTGCCATAAACTGACCCCTGACTCTTGTTCCTCTTTTTTTTTTTCATTTGTCTCTCAAAGAGACATGCACATCCTTGTGAGAAACAGGCCTAACTTTCTAAATCCAATTCCTCAAAAATCATTCTACCCCCAAAATCTATCTCTCATTTGTTCCATGGCTCTTCCTCCAATGTGTATACAGGCTTGTGATGCCCGTCTAAACCTGACACTTTTCCTATAGCCTTTTTCCTTTTGGGGCAAGGAATCCATATATGCGAAATCAGATAACTCTCCATTGTGGCTAAGATAAGGGAACAGAAATTCTGGAACAACAATTCAAGGAGTAAATTTATTTGCCTTACATTGATCCTTGTTCAATTAATACTTGTGTTAAATGAGCCAAACTAAAATATTGCAGAATTAGCAAAATAAGAAGATGTTTGGGTTTAGATAGTTTGCTTGACGTTTTTAGGGCCACATTGTGAGTTAAGGAGTAGAGTATGGCTAAAAAAAAAAAAATTATCCATAACTTTCCTAGTTGAAGATCAACCTGTCACAGTGCTGAAAATAAGATTTTTTCCAAGCACTATCTTATTCGTATTTCTTTATTTTAAAATCTGTTTGATTTCTAAGTTGGTCTCTAGATTTTATAATACATTTAAATGTAAATTTCCAGCAAATTTTCTCTAAAATGTGTGATTTAAAATATACTTTAATTTAGTTTTATAGAACTAAGAGCTGCCCCAAAGAAGAACTTTGGATGTTCTTCTATCTGATTAAGAATAATGAGAACTGTAATTTTCTGGAACACTGAAAGTACTGTATCACTCCTAACCTTGGGTCTTTTTGTTTTTTGTTTTAATGTACAGAGGTGTGAGCTATGTCCTCATAAAGATGGAGCACTGAAACGGACTGATAGTGGAGGTGAGCTTTTGAAGATACCAGGGCAGTCCAGATACCATTTCTCAATCTAACAAGGAATATTTGCTTTTGAGCTCCTTTTTACATCTTTTCCTTCTGCCGCATATCATGAGCACAATGGCATGTGGGCTTAAAATCAAGGTCAAAATGGTAGCACAGTGATAAAGGTCTTTTGTCTGTAAGATGGACATTGATATAAATTCGATTACTATAAGTAAAAATAGACACACACAAAAGAATAAGCCAAAGAATTAAAATTCAGCAGAACTATTAAGATCAGTATTAAGAGACATATCATGATTGGATTTCAATCATCCGGTGCCTTTCAGAATAGTTCCACTTTTTAGATTTCTGAGACTCATAGGCAGAGTTACTGTCCAGCTCTCTAAGGCAAAGATTTTCCAAAAGGTGAATGCAGTTCCTGAAAAACATTTCTCACTCTTTCCAAAATTTCCCAAGAGAAAAGGACACAACATTAAGAAAGATACAGTCTTGAAGTTGACTATCCTGCAGGTACCTGAGAATCAAATTATTTTTGGTCAAAACCAGCAATTTGAATTTGTACCTGGAAGCCTATTGGCAGTCAATGCAGTGCCTGTAACAAAGGTTTTATGTTTGTTGCAGCAATTATTCCAAATGCTTGCCAACTCCTTTATTATGAAATGACAGTACTGACACTTCCTGACTCCATCTCCAGAACTTAAGGAGTTATGTCTCACTTGATCACCATTACAAATAATAATGAGTATATTTTTGGTTCACCCGATGCCATTTTTTCAGGAAGTGTTTAGATTAATCAAGGCTCCCTTAGAACTGTGAATAAATGAAACTTGGAAGTTCGAGTAAGAAATTATGGCTACTCTGGAATCTTTGAGAGGAATCAACAAAGATGTCGTTTTCACTGTGACAATAAATCTTGTATATTACCAAAAAATTCTTGCATTCAAGTTTTTATATCATCATCAATTGCTTGTTGCTGGAACTATAGTTTAGGCATCTACAGCTATGAATGCATATTTGAATAGAAATACAGTACTTCTCACAAAATTGGAGAAAATACTTCAATCATATTATCTGTTTATTTGTTGAGTCTCCAGGTGCAGACTGGTGATGGTCAAATTCAAAATCCCAGTCTTCTCCCTTGATAGGATTATATATTTTGAACTAGATTTTGGCTGTATCTTTTTCTCTTAGAAAGAAAATACCCTCTGCACCAATAATTAGCATATGGGAAAACACCTAGAAGTCTTTCCCCCAATCTTGTCTTCTCTCTATAGAGATAATTGGCTATGTTTGGAGGAACAATGGTTCATTAAAGGCCTTGCTTGTGGTCTGAAAAATGTAGTTTTATTACCTCAGTTAAAATCAGACCATAAAAGCTTTATCCCCCACAGAAACCAATTATGGTTTGATTTATGCTTTTTTTCTGATATATTCCTTATTTTCTCCATATCATTTTTGTCCTTCCGGCATCCAGGCTGGGCCCATGTTGTCTGTGCTCTGTATATCCCTGAGGTGCAGTTTGCGAATGTTCTCACTATGGAGCCCATTGTCCTCCAGTATGTGCCCCATGACCGCTTCAACAAGGTAAAGGAGATCTATCACAACTTAGCTAACCCATTTCTATTTTGAAGCCTTGGGGCCAGGTCACACATTAAATTATATCACACATTAAATTAAATACTAGAGCATGCAGTTTCCCTGTCTTTTGTTTGCATTACTGTTTTTTTTTAAAGTGTGGGTGCCCAATCCTGTTTCAGTAAAAATGAGTAGAGATTTCTCCTTATGGTGTCAACTAATTGTGACCATATGGAAACATCCATGAATTTTCTGGGTCATAGAAGAAACGTGGTTTCTCAGTGCTTCCTTCTGGGTTATTTTACCAATTTCCCAGTCTCCTAAAATACAAATCTGGTAGCTTCTAATAGTTTACCATTTTAGCACTATATAGGCTCAACTCTGCTTAGCTTTCAAACCCAGACAAGACTGGCCAAGTAATTTAACAAAATGTTATGGCTTCCCATTCTATTGCAAACTTTTTAAAAACCTTTTTAAGTGTTTCTTTCTCTTTAATAATTTCATAAAGAAAATATAAGGAACAACAAATTTGAAACATAGCAGTGGAAGTTTTAAGTCTTCCCCTTACAAACATAGACATACCAACAAGATAGTATTCCCATGTGCTTAGAATAATATTCTCTCTCTCTTTCACACACAAGCAAATACAAACACACAGAGATACAATTGCATCTTGCTTACAGAATTGTTTAATTTGAAAGGACCACCAGAGAGAGAGAGAGAGAGAGAGAGAGAGAGAGAGAGAGAGAGAGAGAAAAGAAAATTAATTAAATCATCCTTGAGCTATTTGCTTCTTAAAAATCTCCAGAGATGCAGAACCAAACCTCTGTAGACTGTTCCACCATAATACATATCTTACTATCTGATGATCTTATGTTCTTAGGCTAAGTTCTCAGGCTCTTTTCAGAGATCATATTGATTGGCTATGAATTCTGTGGCCCCTATATTTGAAGGGCATCAAACTATCATATGCTGTCACAAGTTATTATTTATCATCAAACAATGTCATTCTTAAATTTGCATTTTGGGATCTCCATCGAGAGGCATATTAGAAAATCAAATGAAGTTCTATTGTTTTTGTTGCAGACTTGTTACATCTGTGAAGAACAGGGCAGGGAGAGCAAAGCGGCTTCTGGAGCCTGCATGACTTGCAATCGTCATGGTTGTCGGCAAGCCTTCCATGTTACTTGGTGAGTCCATAAGTATATATTTCAAAATCACTTTCTTCCTCCCCAATTTCTGTTCCCCAACCTTTCAGTTTCTTCTGTCACTTTTATTTATCAATGAAATACTATTAGCTAGTAAGAGTGAAGAATTCCTCTGATTGGTTGTAGCTTCTTCCTGGAATTTAAAAGTTTTTATGAATGTTTTCATTCTGGCTTATTTCTCCTCTTCAGTTATCTTTAAAAGATTGCTTTTAATGGAGGAAATTGTTGTATCCATTTCCCACCAACCTACCCTCCCTACATCCTGTTATTCACCCAATGAAAATCAAAACTCTCCATTTTCATTTCAAATCTGAGATTGGGGTGGCCATCATTTTGATTATTCTTAGTCTTTCTTTTTAAATAACACATCTTTTGTCTTTGCACCAAATATGAAAAAAAAAAATTAAGTAGTTTTTTTTTTAAAAGAACTAGGGTGGGGAAAAGGGCAGGGAAAACCTTCCTAAGGGAAACAATAAAGCAGAAGAATATTTAATGCTGCTTGACTGTTTCACTACTGCACCCCATTTCTTACCTAGTTGGCATAAATATGAGTTAGGAAAATGACCAAGAAGGAGACTTCTGGGAAATCAACGAAAGGCAAAAGGGGAGATATGCATCCTGCCCTTGCTTTCAATTTCGCTTTTCTAAAGCTTATCCTGTCCTTCCTTTTTTATATGAGGCCCACATTCCTAACCTAAGTTCATTAACAGATTTCTTGTTCAGCAAAGAAATAGATTGCAGGACAGAAAAGGCATACATTAATAATCTTCTGATGAAGGACAAGGTTCAACAGAAATATATATATAACCCTTCTAGGTTTTGTTCCTCCTTTTTATTTTTATTTTTTGAAAGAGTGGATTAGCTCCACTTTTCAGAACAGAGGTCAGTTTGGTCAATTTAAAAAATTGAATCTTCTTTTGCTTGCCATATCCATTGTTGGTTTTTTGCATCAACATTAGCAAGGAAAATATCATTACCTGTTAACAAACAAAATAAATCTCTTCATTGCTAATTTATTTATTTATTAAAGCATTATACTCCACCAGCATGTACTATCTGATGGCAATTTGAGTAGATTGTATCTCCTCTCTAATGTTATCAGTCATTACATAAAATTTTGGATGTCTGTATGCAAACAAAGAAAGTAAGGCAGTACTGCAAGTCTCAGATTTTCATTTACAAATCAGAATGTGAGTTGGCAGTCACCAAGACAAGAGGAGCAAGGAGATCTATGTATTATTTTTTAGCAGTTTGTCCTATAACCATGTCAGGGCTGATGGTTTGTTATTAAAGCAGGTGTGAGAAAGTGTTTGGAGTAAATTATTTCTTCTATTTATATAAATTCTTTAAAAGATCAAGAAAGTTGAATTAGTGAGTTAGGGAAATCAAAACCTAGTTTGATTGGGATGCCCCAGGGCTCAGTTTACATCAGTTCACTTCCATATTTCAGTGCTCAAATGGCTGGACTTTTGTGTGAAGAAGAAGTCTTGGAAGTTGATAATGTGAAATACTGTGGCTATTGCAAGTACCATTTCAATAAAATGGTGAGTCATTACTTCTTGTTATAATCGTAAATAAAATGTAGATAGTTACCAAGGTCGAACAGAAGTTACGGATATAATAAGCCCGGGGAGTTTTCATTGTACTTTATTCCTGGGTAATGATCCTTTCCCAACTATTGGTCACTAAGATCAGAAGTTTAAATCATAGAAAGTTCAAAGGTCAGTTTCAAGAAAGGAAACCAATATGGCTGAATATGTAGGAGGAAACATTGTGGATATTACAGAGAGATTAACATTATTAAAACAGGTATGCACAATTTCTTCCAAGTCAAACATTCCCTTTGGTTTTTGAGAGGCATCTTGAAGGCTGCACTGTTTATAAGTGATGCAGGTTAAAGAAGTATGCAGAGAGAACAAAAATTATTTAATATTTTAATTAAATTTATAAGTATATGAAATGCAGTTGATACAATTACAGCACATATACTGAATCATATTCAGGTTCTGTTACATTAAAAACAACACTTCTATGGCAACTTTTGCATAGGTTCAGAGGGACAAATCTAACAGTTGGAAATGGTGCCTGAAACTGGATCTTGGGTTGTACATCTGTATCAAAACATCTTAACCAAGATAAAATCCTAAAAAATACTGGCTATTGAAAGTAAACAGTCGATTTTAGTAAGATGATAGTGATTTAAGAGAGGTTTTTCTTCCAGTGACTGCAATTATACATTCCTTTTGCTAATGCATTTTGGTTTTGAAAACCTGCAGTACTGAAAGTATTAGATAAAACTTTTTTTAAAAAAAACCCATCACCTACATGAAGGATTTTCATCATTCTCCAGCATTAATGCCTGCTTCTTCCATTGAGCCCCATCTTAAGTGAGAGTGTCGTCTTAACCTAGGTAATCATATAACCTAATTTAAAAACAGGAAGAGAATGCTGTATCCTAGGGTTTTTTTTTTTTTTTGCAAATTATTTATAGATCTTCCTTCTGCTACATATTTAGGAGCACTAACATTGTTCTTCTAAATGTTAAAACTATTTCTTTTGTGGACAAGATAAGCAGCCAATAACATTAATCCATTTTTTGGAATAACATTAATCCATTTTTTCTTTAGCCATCAATCTGCTTCCCTAGTCATTTAATGTTGTTGTTTTTTCCTGTTATTTTTAACATTTTAATAGCATAGCTTAACTGAAGATTTCTCAGAAAATAGGGACCAAAATAAAACCTAATGGTGCAGCCATATTAATCCTGCCATATTAGTTTACTTGTATCTGCCAGGTTCATGAATAAGGGATTATATAGGCTAAATTGCATAAGAATATCATTTTAAAGGTAAAACAGCATATTAATAAGAAATATTGATAAGAAATTAAATCCTGCTCAGTAACAGCAATTTCTTTCAGCATTAGTTGAATCCTTTCATACAAAGATTTTTAAAAAATGAGATTAAAACACTACTAAAAAGGCATGAGAAAACAAGAAAGCACCATCTCCCTTTCTCTAAAATTTGTTTCACCATTTTTCTTTTCTGGTTCATTCTTGTATATGAAGAAAGTTGGGATAAAAGTCATCATGTAAGAATCTGTTTGCTCTTAATCCCAATTTCCTCTCCCCCATTTTTTCTTGTCATGAAATTAGCTTTCCTCTAGAAATAGAATATGATATTGTTTTATGTTTGTATAAGCAGAATTATGATATCTGGTCTATAAAGCTAAGTGTGTTGCCTATTCCAAATCTATTCTTGCCAGATATATATTGCTACTTTTTTGGTTCCTCATGAAACTTCCAGAAATGACCAGGCAGGAAGGAGAACATGCAGTCTTCCCTGAACATTTGTAAAGGGGTTTATCTGTTCATTACTTGAACTTTATACTTAGAAAACAGTTGTTGTATCATGCCAAAAGTTGAAGGAATGTCTCCAGTTTATTTGAGAGCCCAAAGAATTTTTGGAAGTTCTTTACATGATGCCAATGCCGTGTCTTTCTACATCAAGAAAATTATCAAATCCCTATATCTAGAAAATTAATGTTTCAGGGATAAAGTTTGGCATGATCTCATTGCCCCAAGAATATTCCATAACTGACCATAAAGATTACTCTGCTCTGGTGTTAATGTGGCTTCTAGTGCAAAGACGTTGAATGCTTGATTCAGAGAATGGCTTCCTGTCCCAAAGAAATGTCTCAACTTTTAGTTCTGTCCTGCATTCTACATAGGCAGATGCTGATTACCTTAAAGTAAATAAGTAAAACATTTATAGACAGAAATAAATTTGATCTTCTACCACAGAATCAGTCCAGACAATGCTGGGATGACTTTGCTTTTTGGGTGGTTCATATACAAGGGTCTCAGAGAGAGACCAATACTCAGGGCATACCAAATAGCCCAAATATCTTCTTTGAAACGAAATATTCTGCCCTTCATTACACATTATCAAGTGCACTATTGTGGATATCCTCTGAAGTAATGTTTCAGATATTAACTTGAATTTTATTTTTTATAGAATTTTTTATTTTTAGACAAACATACACAAACAGAACATAAAACATAAAACCATCTTCCAATTATGTACATACAGTGTGTTGGTTGGTTACAATTTTTTTGTGCATCTTCTCCATAGTCCTCGCTTACAATTGTTTGTATAGATTCTCATATTATCAATCAAATATATATCTATACTTTATTATCAACTGTTAATCATTTATTTGACTAAACTATTATTCCTTCATGTTATGCGAGATATTCTAAATTTTAAATTAATTTATAATATAACAATTCATAGTATCATCCTAAATCCATCCAATAATAATACATCTTTATATTCTGTATAATTCTATTCTCCTTATATTGTAATATTCTACATATTTCATTACCATATTTTATTTTCTAACCATTGATAAAATAAATCCCATATCTTATAAAATTGTTTAGCTTCCTGTTCTCTAATTTCAAATGTCAATTTACTCATTTCAGCACATTCCATTATTTTCTTAATAACTTCTTCCTACATTGGCATTTTCTTATTTTTCCTATTTTTAGCAAATACAATCCTAGCCGCTGTTAATACATTTACAATCAAATATTTCAATTCCCTACTGTATATTTCCGGTAAGATCCCCAATAAAAATATCTCTGGTTTAAAGTCTACATGTTTCTTTGTCATTTTTTCCAACCATATGTGGATTTTAGTCCAATATCTTTTAGCTTCTGCACATATCCACCAGATATGGTAATATGAACCCAGTATCTGATGACATTTCCAACATTTTTCAGATTTATTCTTAAACATTCTTGCTATTCTCGTCGGGGGTAAGTGCCACCTGTAAAACTTCTTATACAAATTTTCTTTATATGCTGTTGACATTGTCATTTTATAATTTTGAGACCGCAGTTTTTGCCATTTTTCTAAATCAATCCCATGTCCAAATTTCCCCCCCCAAGCAATCATTGTTTCTTTAACTTGTTCTTCTAGCTTAACCTCTAATAAATGTCCATATAGTTTTTTAATCACCTTTTTATCAATACCTGTCAAAATTTTATCTAAATCAGTCATTTTATCAAAAAACCTTCTGTTTTAAGATCTTTGTCATATCTAGAGTATATTTGCACATATGAAAACCATACCTTGTTCTTCTAGTTCTTGCAGAGTTCACCCTTTTCATTCAATATTTCACCATATCTAACTTTTTATATGTTATTGAATATAAAAAAGCTTCAATAGTCGATAACCAGACTGAGATTTTTAAATAGTGTTGCTTTTTAGTGTTCTCCCAATTTAATAACAAAGCCTCTCATATAGTGTCTTCTAAAATACCATTGTGTTTTAATTCCCTTGTATCATAAGAAGGTATGCCATCCCAACAACAAATCTATTGTCAATAATCTAGCATTTCTTAATGTTATCCATTCCTTAACCCACATCGAATTTGTTGCCTGATAATATAACTCCCAATTAGGCAGGCCACAAATCCTCCTCTTGTTCTAGCATCTTGTAACAGTTTTAATTTTATTCTCGCTTTCTTTCCCTGCCAAATATTCTTCAACACTATTTTATATAAATCTTCAAAATAATCTTTCCCTAATTTAATTAGAATTGTCTGGAACAAATATAAAATTCTAGGTAATATATTCAGGTTAATTGTTGATATTCTCCCTATTAGAGATAATTGTAAATTTTCCCATTTTGCCAAATCTGCCACAATCTGTTGTTTGAGTTTAAGATAGTTATTCTCTTTAAGTGTACTGCATCTTGCTGTCAAGTATATCCCCAAATACTTAACCTTATTTGTGACCTGGATTTTCAAAACATCTGCCAATTCTTCCTTTTGTCTTACTAACATATTCTTTGTCAAGATCTTCATTTTATCTTTATTTATTTTCAAACCAGCTACTTTTCCATATTCCTCTATCTTTTCTATCAATTTAAGTGCTGTATCTAATGGATCCTCTAAAATGAAAACCAGATAATCTGCAAATGCTTGCAATTTAAATTCTTCCTTTTTAATTTTTCATTCCTTTTATATCTGTTTCTTCTCTGATATTTCTATTTAACACTTATAAAGTTAACACAAGCAACAGAGGTGACAGTGGGCAACTTTGTCTTGTTCCATTCCTTATGTCAATAAAATCTATCAATTCCCCATCTATCATTACCTTTGCTGTTTGTTTATGATATATAGCTTCTATGGCTTGAATGAATTTCTTACCAAAGCCCATTTGCTCCAGCTGTAATAACATAAATCGCCAATTCACATTGTCAAAGGCTTTCTGTGCATCTAAAAATATCAAAGCCATTTGTTTTTTGGAGTGTGCCTCATAGTATTCCAAAGTGTCCAGAATTATTCTCATGTTATCTTTAATTTGTCTCTTTGGCAGAAACCAATTTTGATCAGGGTGAATAAAGTTATTCAAATATCTTTTAAGTCTTTCTGCCAATATTGAAGCAAAGATTTTATAGTTTGAGTTTAGCAGGGAAATAAGTATGAAGATCTTAATTTGCTGTCGGTCTGCGTCCTCCTTTGGGACAAGCAT